GGTTTTCCACGTTAAAAGTTGCTATCGCCTTATTGTGTGATTGTTGGATCATTGTTTTCAGATTATTTTTAGAATATATTGTGCTCTATTGAATTGTTTCCTAATAGGTTCACACAAAGAGGGAGAATAAACACTTCCGCTATTTTTGTGCCGGATTCGGATATTTCAAATTTGGTTTTTTGTTTTGTTTTCTCCCAACATAGTGGTATCAGAGCTTGGTTCATATTTTTGTGCATCTTGTGTTGAATAATGGAAGCAAATTTGAGTAGAATGGTTACCTTGAATGGTTCTAATTATCACACATGGAAAGGAAAAATGGAAGACCTCCTTTATGTGAAACAATTTCATCTACCGGTGTTTGCTACTGAAAAACTAGAAAATAAATCTGATGAAGAATGGACATTACTACATCGACAAGTGTGTGGGTACATTAGGCAATGGGTGGATGATAATGTGAATCATATTAGTAGAGAGACACATGCCCGTACACTCTGGTACAAACTTGAACAATTGTATGCTCGGAAGACTGGAAACAATAAAATGTTTCTAATAAAGCAATTGATGACCTTGAGATACCAAGATGGAACCCCATTGACAGATCACTTGAACACTTTTCAAGGAGTAATTAATCAGTTGGCTGGAATGGGTATCAAGTTCGACGATGAGGTACAGGGGTTGTGCTTGCTTGGTACATTGCCGGACTCTTGGGAGACATTTAGAATGTCATTGTCTAACTCGGCTCCAGATAGTGTAATCAATATGGATCTGGCTAAGAGCAGTATTTTAAATGAAGAGATGAGGAGGAAATCAAAGGGATCTTCTTCACAGTCAGAGGTTTTGGTTACAAAAAGAAGGGGGAGAAGCAAGAGTAGAGGTCCGAAGAACAGAGATAGAGGTCGAAGCAAGTCCAACAAGTTTGCTAATGCTGAGTGTTATCATTGTGGCATGAAAGGGCACATCAAGAAACAGTGCAGAAAATTGAAGAGAGAGAACAAGGAGAAAGGGATTGAGCATGATGGAAAGGATAATGATCAAGTTGCCACCGCTACTTCCGAAGACTTTCTCATTGTTTATGATGAAGATGTTATTAACATAGCATGCCATGAGACCAACTGGGTGATTGATAGTGGTGCCTCTATTCATGCTACATCTCGAAAAGATTTCTTCACATCCTACATACCTTGTGACTTTGGTTCAGTAAAGATGGGTAATGATGGCTTGGCCAAAATTATTGGTGTTGGAGACGTGCACTTGGAGACGAATAATGGCACAAGGTTGGTTCTTAGAGATGTAAAGCATATTCCTGATATCCGTATGAATTTGATTTCTGCAGGTAAACTTGATGATGAAGGGTATTGCAACACTTTCGGTAATGGTCAGTGGAAGCTCACTAGGGGTGCTATGGTTGTAGCTCGAGGCAAGAAGCATTCTACTTTGTACGTAATACAAGCAAGGCTCCCCAAAGAAGCTATTAATGCAATGGATGATGAGTCTACAGTGGAATTGTGGCATAAAAGGCTTGCTCACATGAGTGAGAAAGGCTTGGCAACATTGGCTAAAAAGAATCTTCTGTCTGGAATGAAGAATGCATTTTTGAAAATGTGTACTCACTGTTTGGTAGGAAAGCAGAGTAGAGTTTCCTTCAAGAGTTCCCCTCCTTCAAGAAAGCCAAATATACTTGATTTGGTATATTCAGATGTCTGTGGTCCTATGAAGACAAGAACACTTGGTGGCTCCCGTTACTTTGTGACCTTCATAGATGATTATTCAAGGAAGTTGTAGGTCTACACTTTAAAAAGCAAAGATCAAGTGTTGGAGACTTTTAAACAGTTCCAAGCCTTAGTTGAGAGACAGACTGGGAAGAAGCTCAAGGGCATCAGAACAGATAATGGGGGATAGTATTGCGGTCCTTTTGATGATTATTGCAGACAATAAGGTATTCGACATCAAAAGACAACCCCGAAGACTCCTCAGTTGAATGGTTTAGCTGAAAGGATGAACAGGACACTGGTTGAAAGAGTTTGATGCTTACTTTCACAGGCACGGTTGCCAAGATCCTTTTGGAATGAGGCTTTGAGTACAGTTGTACATGTTCTTAATCTCACACCATGTGTTCCTCTTCAGTTCGATGTACCAGACAGAGTTTGGACTGGCAAGGATGTTTCCTATGATCACCTGTGTGTCTTTGGATGTAAAGCATTTGTTCATATTCCCAAAGATGAGAGGTCTAAGCTTGATATGAAGACCCGACAGTGTATTTTTCTAGGCTATGGCCTAGATGAGTTTGGCTACAGGTTATATGATCCAGTTGACAAGAAACTTGTGAGAAGCCGAGATGTTGTATTTATTGAAGATCAAACTATACAAGATATTGAAAAAGCAGAGAACACAATGTCCTGGCATAGTGATGGTTTAGTTGACTTGGATCCGGTTCCTCTGACAGATTTGCCTGCACAGGTTGAACATGATGTTCAGAATGACCAACAAGGTCTAGGTGATGCTGATGACCCCTTACAGGTCGAGACAGGTGATGAGACTCTTGAGCAGTTGGCAACACCAGAGATACCACCAGATGTTCCAACCACGAGGTCAGCTATAGACCGACGTCCTTCCACTTGGTATTCTGCAGATGAGTATGTGTTAATGACTGATGGGGAAGAGCCCAAGAGTTATGCAGAAGCCATGGAAGATGATCATAAGCTGGAATGGGCTGATGCGATGCAAGATGAGATGCAATCATTGCATGACAATCACACTTTTGAGTTGGTGAAACTGCCTAAGGGCAAGAGAGCTTTAAAGAACAAGTGGATGTACAGGGTGAAACATGATGAACTCACTTCACAACCACGATACAAAGCTAGACTAGTTGTTAAAGGGTTCAGTCAGAGAAAATGCATTGATTATGATGAGATCTTCTCACCAGTTGTAAAAATGTCTTCTATTCGTGTGGTTCTTGGCTTAGCCGCTAGTCTAGATTTAGAGATTGAGCAAATAGATGTGAAAACTGCCTTCCTTCATGGGGACTTGGAGGAAGAGATTTACATGGAACAACCAGAGGGTTTCAGGGTGAAAGGAAAAGAGGATTATGTGTGTCAACTAAAGAAAAGTCTTTATGGTCTGAAGCAGGCACCCAGGCAGTGGTATAAGTAGTTTGAGGCAGTTATGAAGGAGCAAGGCTACATGAAAACTACTTCTGACCATTGTGTATTTGTGCAGAAATTCTCTGATGATGATTTTATTATTTTACTGCTCTATGTTTATGACATGTTGATTGTTGGCAGGAATCCTTTAAGAATTGACAAATTGAAGAAGCAACTAAGCAAGTTCTTTGCCATGAAAGGCTTGGGGCCAACAAAGCAAATTCTTGATATTCGAATCTATCGAAACAGAAAAGAGAAGAAATTGTACATGTCACAAGAGCAGTATATTGAAAAAGTGCTTGAAAGATTCAATATGAACAAGGCTAAAGTGGTTAGCTCACCTCTTGCTACTCATTTTAAGTTAAGCACTAATCAAAGCCCTTCTACAAGTAAAGAGAAGGAAGATATGGAAATAGTTCCATATGCCTCAACTGTGGGAAGCTTAATGTATGCAATGGGCTGCACAAGGCCAGATATAGCTCTTTCAGTTGGTGTGGTTAGCCGATTTCTTTCAAATCCAGGAAGAGAACATTGGAATGCAGTAAAGTGGATAATGAGATATCTTAGAGGCACTTCCAGGTTGACACTCAGTTTTGGAAATGGACAACAAATTTTAGTTGGCTACACTGATGCAGATATGGCAGGAGATGTGGATACCCATAAGTCTACTTCAGGTTATTTGATCACTTTCTCAGGTGGAGCTGTTTCTTGGCAGGCAAGGTTGCAAAAATGTGTTGCACTCTCTACAACAGAGACAGAGTTTATTGCGGCAACAGAAGCTTGTAAAGAGTTGCTATGGATGAAAAAGTTCTTGACGGAGCTTGGTTTCAAACAACAACACTATGTGTTGTTTTGTGATAACCAAAGTGCTATTCACTTGGCTAAGAACTCCACATTCCATTCGAGGTCGAAGCACATCGACGTAAGGTACCATTGGATAAGAGAAATTCTTAATCATAAGTTGTTAGAACTTGGAAAAATTCGTACTGATGATAATGGTGCTGATATGTTGACAAAAGCTTTGGTAAGGGAGAAGCATGAGACATGTTGCTCAATTGCCGGGATGGAGAATCACTCCACCTAGTCGGAAAGGGGGAGATTTGTTGGGTTGGGTTTCCATCCTATGTGGAGGAAGGCCCAAAACATTTAGTAAGCCCATGTGAATTCCAAAGCCCACATGGAGAGGTTATGTTTTTTGAAAAGATCTGGCCCATAAGTTTAGGATTACAAACCCTTTCTCTTCACAAAAAAAGAGACGTAGAAGCTGCCACCAAAACAGAGAGGAGAGGAGAAATTCTGTCCAGCAGTGATCAAGCTATCCGATCAACAAGAATCTGTGGTCCGATTGAGCTGAAGTTTGGTAGGCGAGTTCACAACTCAAGACTCTAAATTCTGGACGGTGGAGATCAGATTTGGAGTTTTCTACTGCTGGTTTTTGGCTCGTGAACAGTACCATTTTTGGTGAGATTTTTCTTAAACTTTGTAGTTTGATCTTTGGTTGCCAAGGAAGCTTATTTGTAAGTTGTTCTTTATTGTTTGCCTCTAGTTCTATCTAGAGAGAACTCTTGTATACCCATTATTTGTTTATAGTGGAGATATTTGGTGGACTACGGTCCCGTGGTTTTTCCTTTCCACATCGGGAAGGTTTTCCACTTTAAAAATTGCTATCGCCTTATTGTGTGATTGTTGGATCATTGTTTTCAGATTATTTTCAGAATATATTGTACTCTATTGAATTGTTTCCTAATAGGTTCACACAAAGAGGGAGAATAAACACTTCCGCTATTTTTGTGCCGAATTCGGATATTTCAAATTTGGTTTTTTTGTTTTGTTTTCTCCCAACAAAATTTGGGGGTAAAAGTCACTCAAAACTAATGATGATAGAAACACATTGATTTGTGAAAGAGAAAATTAGAATCTGTCAGCTTCAACAGTTCCATTACTTAAATGATAGAAATGAGTTTATTCTTGAACTTTTCAATAGAGATACATAAAGAGTTTTGTTGTTCTAATACGACAACAAACTAAATTCTATTTGTTTCCCTATGTAGCTTTTGGTGACTGTTAAAGAGTTTGGGATGTACAGGAAATGGGAAATGGGAGATGAGGTAAATTCTAGAGGTTCTGATATTGAAATTTTGATATTGAGATTCTGATATTGAAATTTTGTTGCAGAGGTTTTGAAGCTTGGGAACTCCACTCGGATTAATGAGCAGTGCTTAGAGCTTCAAAAGAATATCAAAGATGATGCTTCCAAAATGAAGGTAGGTATGATGGTGGCTGCTTTCCTAAACCTTGTATTCATCTTGTGAAGCATGTTTTCGGGCTAATTTGGCCTGCATTTGCTTTCCTTTCATAATTAATACCTTAATGATTTCATGGAGGAAGAGTTAAGCTACACTTTATACTGGAAACCCTTTCTGAATTTGAACATGCTGAGAAGGGTGATGCTTTGTATGGTAAGTAGCCTCTTTTACATGCTTTGTAGAGTATATTTGTGCTTTGTTCATGTTAAGAAGTGTAGAACACCTAAACACCTAATCAAGATAGGTGAGATATGAAAAAATAGAGAAGAATAATAAACAAGAGTATAAATCACACCCACTCACAAAAACATAAGATTAATGTGATTCACCTCAAAATTAAGACTATGTCCAGAGTCTGCATATACATAGTATCAGAACTACATGTCACAGATGTAGAAATACCAAAACTGTAGCGCCCTCAAAATAATACATTAAACCCAACACTTTAGACATGCATTGATATAAGAGAAACCAACCATTTCTATTCATCAGAGTAATTCTTACAACTGTATTACATGTTAACAACAAAAGCAAATGCCCTATGGGCTTACAGCTTTCCAAGTCAACACCTGGTTACACAAAAGAAGAGTACTAACTCTATACAAAATAAGCCCTTGGCTTGATATACATGTAATACAAACAAAATAAACCAAAAAGAGTCCTCAACACTCATCATCATCCAAGCTATGTCCTTGGAGGTGGCATACTACCTGTACCTGAAAATAATGTCCCATAAAGGGTGAGCCAACGCCCAGTAGAAATATGCTAAACACAATATGAGCAATAACTAAGACATTAGCAATTGACAAATATTCGACTTGAAGTAGATGGGGAAGTTTTGCTACATCTGGGGACGTTGGAGAGTACAAACTTATAAGTGGAAACGAAGTTGAGTAAAAGCGTTTCACAATTTACATCAATGGCTCAGAACCTGGCCAACCACTTATATGAGACAGTGACTCATATTAAACATTTCCCATTTTTTACAATAGATAAACATACTAGTTGTATCAACATCTCAACAGATAAGCATACAAGCTGTATCCACATTTCAACAGATATGCATATTAGCTATATCAACACTTCCAAAGATAAGCATATGAGCTGTATCAACACTTCCAGAGATAAGCATATGAGCTATATCAACACATCATCTGACAAGTATATGAGCTGTATCAGTGGAGTCCATCCCCTATTTCCTCCCAAACAATATCCGGTTTAGAGGTCCATCCCCTATCTTCCCCTAAATCGTGGAGTATATCCTCTATCCCCTCTCACACACACAGCGTATATACACAAAAGTCATACACATAATTAATCAATACATAACGTTAATGTATTCTATCAACCGTCATACTCTATGACACATCCAATTGATTAGTTTTAGTTTGCCTAATCATCATGCATTGTCTACAACAATCAAAACTACCCTCCACGGGTAGCCCAAGCAATTATTTCTAAACAGATAATAAAAGCTCCAACAGATAAAATATCAATGTTTTCAAAAGTGAGCGATTAATAAATCTAACTCCACTATTCAACCATATAACGAACCAATTTCATTATTTCCAACTTAATTTCATAAAGTCACAATTTTCCCAAATTAATTATACCAATTAATTTAAACAACAAATTAGGGCCTTTTCCCCAAACTCTCAATATCAACTCAAAGGTTCAAATATCACCAACCAACAACTATATCATCGTTTTGAAACCCAAAATACATATTATGAGCCCAAAATCACGAAACCCTAAGTCCCAAAATGAACCATTTAAACAATAAGTTCAAAATCTAGGTTAAAACCCAAAAGAGTGAGTAGGAATCCCTACCTCAAATTCAGAGCTCAAGGAGAGAAGATGAAAAAACTCAACGTGCTCCAAAACTCAATATACTCGGATCAAAACGTAGCCTCGACGATCAACCCAACTCTTACAAAGGCTGAAGGGAAGGGAAACACTCTAACTAGATCAAACCCTAGAGAGAAGGAAGTTTCTAGAGAGAGGAACTCTCAAAAATGTCTTTTTAGAAAGTAAGAGAGAGAGAGAAAGAATGTAAAAAATGATTTTAAAATGCCCAGCTACAACTGATATACGACATTCCCGCTCGAGCGGAGAACATAACGCTCGAGCGTCAAGAACAAAAAACTGGGTACGCTCGAGCTCAAGAAGACCCGCTCGAGCGCCAAGACAAGTGAATAAAGTACATCCGCTCGAGCGCGAAAACCAGTCCGCTCGAGCGTAGATTTCCCCCTCCCAAAACTTACACCAAAAAGTACTACCCCCTCGAGCGCAACCGCTCGAGCGCAAAGAAACCCGCTCGAGTGTGAAAAACATGCCTGCAGGAGTTCTGCAGAGCACCAAAATACTGGGAGCGTGCAATCTCCGCTCGAGCGCAAGAAGACCCGCTCGAGCGGACCTCCTAAAAACTAGGCAACAAAGAATTGAAACCAAAGCCTAACCAACCTGTAACAACTCTGCCCAATACATCCTAAAACCCGAACAAATGGAATTAAAGGATGACAACAAGATAGATACAACTACCAACTCCACGGAACTGAGTTTGGAATACAACAGAACAGTAAAGAGACAACCGGGATCGCTATAAAAACATCCTTACTCCAGAATTCGGGTAAGGGCTAAGGCCCTGAGCCCCCACCTTCGGGCAAGGGGGTTCTGACCCCTTGCAACCTCACCAACTTATTGTGAAGGTTTTGTTTTTTTTTTTTTTTTGAACAAGGAAAGTGAACTTATTGTGAAGTTTGATCCACAGTTGAGTGCTAGTGTCTAGTACTCGGGATCTACACTAGCCAACAATCAACTCTCATTCTCTGGGATTTATTGATTCAGCAATGGAACTAGCACTGTCCTTGGAGAAGTTGACAAATGAGAAACTTCTGAGCTTGCATGGTGTAAGATATCCTTTACCTTCAGTATCTTTTTTTCTTACTTTGAATTCATTCTCTACAATGGCCAAGTATTAGCAGTATTTGACAAAACATTTGGTCCATTTAACTCATTTTACGCATTATGAGGTTGAACCGTGTCTAAAATGGAAGTTGGGGACTTCAGACTAGGACTACTCATACTTGCTTTGTTCTTGACAACAGGTGGCTACTCAAAACAATGATCCTCAAATGACTGAGTTTATTGAGCGTGAATTTCTAGCTGAGCAGGTGATCTGAGAACCTCATTTTTACGTGTACCAGTTAATACATATGAATGTTTCTTTTTTTTCATCCCTAAACAAACAAAACTTTGAAAGAAAACACTATGAGTAAAGAATAAATAATTTTCTATGAGTTTTCTAATATTGTCGACTTCTTTCTTATTTTTTTCCTTCGTTAGGTGGAAGCAATTAAGAAAATTGCAGACTTTGTCACTCAGTTGAGACTGGTTGGAAAAGGACATGGTATGAATCAAGTTTCAATGTCACTCATCGCTAAGCTTGATTTGGTGACACAAACAAACTCCAAATTTGTTTTGGAGAACAGCAAGGTTCATGTATTAAATTCTGATTTCTATAACTTGAGTGGATGTACATAGATACTAAGGGTAGAGGTTTTTTTTTTTTTCTTTTTGTCTTTTTTTTTTTAACTGACCTTCAAGTGTTTTGAATTGCTTGAAGAGTTAGTGTTGCTGTTCAGAGAGAACTTCAAACTCGAGTCTGATCGCTCTTGCATACATCTGGAGTTCGATATATTGTTTACTTTTATTTTTGGTTGTGTTTGTTGTTTGATTTTGGTTTAGAAATAATCATATAATGCTTTTAAATAGCAGTAAAGTTTTATCCATACTATTACTAATTTTCAGCTTTATTACAATTATGTTTTTTAGTTAAATCCAACAGAATTAGCACAACCTCAAAAAAAAAAAAAAAAAGCTATTAACGGCGTTTTTCCAAAATCAAAATGCCACTACAGTGTTAATGGTCATATTTTTAAATTAGGAAAAAATCTATCACGGCGTTTTTAAAACGTCGCTAAATACTAATGATGTCATTTTACCGTTATGTATCACATTTAGCGGCGTTCTATACTAATCTAACGACGTTTTCAAAGCGTCATAATGCTATAGCGACAGCCACGTCTTCGACGTTTGATACTAAACGTCACAAAAAGTATTAGAGGCGTTTTTCACACTTATAGCGGCGTTTTTTAAATGCCGCTAAATGCAAAATTTCCAGCAGTGTCTGTCCAAAATAACACCAATCTGCCTAAAACTTCATTTTGTCCAAATGTCATTTTTTTTTATGTACATGTCATCTATTTGTCTAAATGCCTTTATCTATTACTTATCTATCCAATTTCCCATTTCTTTCCACTTCACAGCCGGCTACCATCTGCCAGTGTCAGCAACTTTCGGGCCAATTTTCTAGTGACTTTGTAGCCTTCGCGACTTTTACTGGCAACTTTTTAACGCTTGTCTTTATCACTAAAACATATTAAATCTTAGACCAAATACCATAAAGGCCCATGGATGTGAAGTTTTTACCAATTAATCCTTTAAATAAGTAAAAATTAGGCTTAGCATGAGAAGATTAGTCCACACTTTGGCCATGTTTGTTTGGCTCTTTGGAAAGGAGGATTTGACTAACAATCCGTGGGACCCATCTAAAGAGTGTTTGGTTGGGGATATGAGTAGAGTTGCAAACAAACCGAGTCGAGCTTTGCTGAGCTGAAGCTCGAGCTCGGCTCATTTACTTATCGAGCTCGTTTATTGAGCTCAAGCTCGACTCAATAAGGAACTAGGTTCGAACTCGACTCGGTTCGTTAATATTGATGAAACTCGAGTTCGGCTCAATTTGATAATTTTTTTAAAATATTATTTATATTATTTGAATAAAATATTATTTATATATATTTATACAATTTATATAAAACTAATCCGGTAGTATACAAACAAATACTCTTTATCCTATATTTCCAACTTAATACCACCATATTAATAATCTCCTCACTCAATCTCACCATACTCTTAATCCCCTCCATCCTACAAGAGTAATACTAGAGATCTCAAAAATTCTAACAAATGTCTCACATAGGTGTGGGACTCACACAATGTGGGTCCCATGTGAATTCTACATTCATGTGAGATATTTGGTAAAATTTTTGATAAAATTTTTAAGGCCTCTAACATTTTTAATCCTACTAGTTAGGAGGCGCATGCGTTGCACGTGGCATATGAATTGATTTATAAACGAAACACGAATCTTTATTTGGATTGTTTTATCAGCTAATCTTATATTAATATATTAATGTGGGCTTTTGTTTTATATAATGATTTTGCGCTTAGCTTACAATGCTGCAATTGTAGTTGATTTTGCTGACACAGTTACTTTAAGGTAGAAATAAGTTAAAATGGAATGGGCTGCCCATCCAAGGCTAAACTAGTCAACAAAACAAAACATTTCATTACAGCACTTTCTCTACTTTTTTACACGTCTTTTCGTAAAAAAAATTAAATAGTCAACTAAAATAGCTTATTTCCAAACGGGTTTGGTGATCATTTATGGATCTCCAATTCTTTAGAAGTGAAGTTAATCTTTAGTTTTTTTTTTTTTAAATTTTCCAAACACTTGGTAAATTTACGATTTTTTTTGGTTGATAATATTAAGCGCAAAAAAAAAAAAAAAAAAAATAATAAAGAAAAAAAGAAAGAAAAAAGAAAAGAAAAGAAAAGAAAAGTTAGATATTCTTTGTAGAATATATAGAGAAGGATGTCAGGCCAAATGATTTTCCCAAGGATTGCATGATGGTGAGGTGGTCTCTAAAGCACTTGGGATCTCAAAAAAAAAAAAAAAAACTATTATTCCTTCCTTTTTACATAATCGAACTATTGTGAAAAAATTATTGAATACAAAATAATACAAAATTTTACTACATTTTAGTATTTTGTTATATTCAACGATTTTTAAAAAAAAAATTGTACAAATTATATATTTTTTAAGTCAATATTTATTAAGTCAATCTAAAATTAAAAACTCAAAATATACTCAAGAGTCGTCGGCTTTTCTTTATGCATATATGAATGAAGAACGGAAAAAAAAAAAAAAACAAAAAGGCTGCTACTTGTATAAACCCTAACCTGATAAGTAGGCAGTTTGTCTATAAATTAGAGTGGACTGTTATGTTTTTATCTATTTATACAACTACTGGGCTGTCAAACAAAGTTGATTGAGAGACAATGCAATCGACTGCTTGGTTCTGAAATCCGAAACAGAGTGGGTAACAAAGAATTAAGATGTTATAAGAAAGGCATATATATAACATATAACTTGAGGGGGAATTACACAAACATAAATAAATAAATAAATAAATAAATAAATAACAATTGTAAAAATATGGGGATGTAAATGAATTTGTGATGAGATGTAAGTGAAAAGTTATGGGAATGTAAGTCTCACTGACACCCCTCCATATTTGTGTATTTTCTTTTTCTCTGTCCAACTGTTAAGTAATTCCCTCAAAACTTAATAGTTATAATTATTTGATGACAATACCACAAGAAATAATTTAAATAAGTTTTAAAAAATTAACTATTGAGAAGTAAAGAAAAAATTTAATTACTTTTTAATTATCAATTTTAAAAAATTACACTAAACATGTCCTAAGAATAATAATAATAATAAAACAAAATTAAGTCAACATCCTATCTGAGTAAAAAATCAATATATAGTGATATCACATTAATACATGAACAATAGTAATTTCTATAAGTTCAGTTTTTACGTAGTGCTAAAAAAAGAAGAGTAAATTACAAATATATTTAAAATTTATAATTTTAAAAATTATAAGTATTTTATTATAAGAATTTTTATTTTAAAAAATTAATAGAAAAAAATAAAATACTTAACTATTTTTTTATATAATAATAAAATTATCAAAATTATTAATTAAAATATTAATTAATTTAATAATTTATTAATAAAATAAATCATTTATTATACTATTAAAAATTTAACAAAACCGAATGTAATTCATATTTTCTATTTGTAATTTATCTCCCAAAAAATAAAAAATAAAACACAAAAGCAAATAGAAGATCCACCCCCACCACTAGTGAAGCCCTCAGGCCACCACCTTCCGCCACCCCGTCTCCCCTTCCTCAGTCGTTGCCGTCACTGCTTCTTCTTCTTCTTCGCCGCCACCGCAAACCGTAGAATCTTTCAAGAAATTCAAAAATGGAGGAGTCTTTGAAGGTAACTGATGAACAATCTGAGATAGTCTCTGCTTCTTCAAATTTGTTTTTTTTATTTTTCTATCGATTTGATTTTCCCTCAATTCATTGGTAATTTTGTGTTACATATTCGTGTTAATTTGTGCCTGTATAATTTGTGGATTTTGTTGAGTTTTTGATGATTGAGAACATAAACCAAAACATAAAAGGCATATGTATATATATATATATATATATATATAACAATAGTTTAAAAAGGTCTATGCAAGGCACGAGCTGTTATTATAGTATATTTAAATTTTATATTTTGATAATTTTTTAAAAATTAGAATATTGTTTTATAAAATTGAATAAAACAAATCATTAGATATATGATAGAATTATGTGACATGATATATATCATTTTTTGATTTATTATACACCTAATGATGTATTCCTTCCAAATTTATATTAAAAAAATGTATATTATGGTGTGTAACTTTTCTCAACAGATAAATATAAAACACATACTAAGATAATTCTCACATCCAAAAAAATACTAAGATGATTCACTGAACTAATAAAGAAGTAGAATAAAATACATAGGATAATGTTTCAGAGCTCGAATCTTCTCCCCCTAATCCCCCGAACGCCCAAAACGACGTCATTTTGGGCATTTAGTTTTTTTTTTTTTTCTTCGTATTCTTCATCATGCAGGCTGAAACAAAGGGAGAGAAGAGGGAGAGGAGAGGAGAGGAGAGGAAGAGGGAGAGGGAGAGAGAGAGAGAGAGAGGGAGAGAGAGAAGGCAGGTCGTCGCAGCCTTCCACCCGCCGTCGCCTCTGCCCGATCGTCGCAGGCCCGCCTCCACTGATCGTCGTCGCAGCCTCTACCTCGCAGCCCCCGCACCTCCTCCGCCTCCTCCTCCAGTCCTGTTGGCCCCCCTCCAGTCCTTCCTTCTCCTCCTCTTCCTTCTTCCTCCCTTCTCCTTCTTCTTCTTCCCTTCTTCTTCTTCCTTCTCTAATCTTCCTTCTTCTGCAAAAAAAAATCAAAAACGGCGTCGTCGCAGAATTAGGGGGATTCCAGGGGGGGAGCTTTCGAGCTCCCTAGCACGGTCCAAATACATATATATATATACAAATGACTAATATTATTAATACATAAATCATACTCACATAAAAAATGACCAATTTTATCAATACATACATAAATCATACTCGCATAACAAATGATCAATTTTATCAGTAAGTAAACCATTAAGTAAATTAATAATTTTTGATAATATGAAAAATATTTTTCAGTTAACCATTTTAATAATAAATAAATTATTAACTAAATTAACGATTTTTAACGATATGAGAAATATTGTTCAATAAACAATTTTGATAATTTATTATTGCATAGGAGAATATTTTATTTTTCTTGAATAGTGTGTTAAATTAAAATTTATAACAAATGATAGTTATAATTTCTAGTATTATCGGACCGATTCATATTTTAAACAAATTTTATGGGTGTATTTGTAATTTGTTAAAAAATAAAAGATTTATATTTAATAATTGAT